TTTGAGGTATCTGTAGGAAATAAGTGCAACCATTCAGGAGATGTCTAGATATGTGGAGAAATACTCACACATAGGCCTGCAATGACATTGCAGCACATGAGAAGAAATTTTAGAAAGAAAATTTCGAGATAAATATGAATGTCTGATTAGAGTTGCAGCAATAAATCACAGTGAACATAGCCTCACACTCATTTTCTCTTTTTCTTCTTTCTTTCTCCCAGCTTTCCCATCAAATATGACCCATTTATATGATAAAATGAAAGCAATTTAAACTAATCCATGCAAAGTTTAAGTGAAAGATAACCTCACCCTTCCATTTTTAGCATGAAAAAATGAGGCTAGAAGAATTTCAGCCGGCATGGAGGGGAAAATCACACCACCAACTATTTTCTCATTTGCCTTATTATAAAATATTTCATATTAAAAGAAAGAAACAAGACAGATATCTGCCCACCCACAGGACCAACTCCTAACACTGCAGTAGAATGTATTGCAATAATCTGTTTACATATCTTTCCACTAGATTGGGAGAGAATGTGAGTCCCATAAACACAGGGTCCGTGACAAGATCTCTGACCAGCCTCCATCCTTCCCTCCCTTCCTTCCTTTTTATTAAGTCTCTCAAGTGTGCCCAGCCCTGCCCTGGGCTCTGAGAATTCAGTGGTGACAGACAAGTTTTCTAATTCCACAGAGCAAATATTCTAGTGGGGAAGAGAGATGAAGTAGGCAAATAAAGAATATACAAATAAGATGGTAAGATACTGGTAGAGACCATGAAGGACATAGAGCAAGCATCACTGAGGAATTAAGGGATCAACTGAGATCACATAGACAGAGCAAGAAGGGTTGATGTGGAAGGACAAACTTACAAAATTCTTCTCAAAGAATTTTCCTTTGAAGGAAACAGAAAAAAGGGGTGGAAGCTGGAAGGAGATATGGATAAGAATCAATTTCTCTCTCTCTCATCTATTTCTTTCTTTATTTGTGCTAGGAGATGTTAGAGCAGTTGTGTTGCTAATAGAGAAGATCCAGGGGACAGAGAAAAAGGCTGATGCAGGATATTGAGGATGTAATTGCAGAGACAATGTCCTTAAGAAGATTAGAGATATAAGATCGATGCAGTGTTGGAGAGGTTGTCCTGAAGTGGGAGTATGGCCACCTCATGCACTGTCATCTCAGGCAGGAAAAAGAGTAAGGAGAGTTTCATAGTTTTTTGATTGAAAGATAAGGGGATTCTACATGAGAGCTTCTCTTTTCTTCAAAACATGTAAAACAAGGTTTTCAGCTGGAATTTAGAGAAAGAGAAGTATGTAGGGTGTGGATATTTAGAGAAGATAAAAGAATATATGAAATAGTCACTTATGAGAGTGGAAGAACAAAGCTACTAAGAAATGAAGGAGGATTATTTGGGAATACTAAGTGCCATTTTGGATTTGGGGTCAAGAATTTAGAGTGTCACAAAATCGGTATCGTATTCCTTTATTTTTCCAGCTCCATTGTAATTTTTGTACTTAAAGATTGAAAAGTATTCAGTGATAGAAATTTCTTCAGCATTCAGTAAAGCTTTAATGTGAAATTGTAATTTATTATTAACGGAGGCATCATACATCTGACAGACGGCCGTATATATACATGTATGTAATACTACTTATCCAGCCATTGAGCATGCTTGGTTCACCTGTAGTACTTGTCTGCTTGGCCCCACTCCTGTAATAATTTTGTTGTTGTGCCAGGATCTGAATACCATAAGTTTGTAGCCAATGTTATTACAGACTGTTGAAGCATGAAGGGGGCATAGAAATCATGACGTTTGGTGATTCTTCTACTCAATTTACAGAATCACTTAAATAAACACTCCTGAGACCACTTCACGTCTATATGAGCATCAATAGGGTTGAATTAGAGACTAAGGATCATGAAACTAATGAGAATTCTTTGCACATTAACAAATGAATTCCTCATTACACAGTGAAGAAATATTTATTTGATAATTTCCTAATTTTGCATATCACCATAGCAGGCCATAAAGTAATGTCTAATGAGAAACTGGTTAGGAAAAAAAAAAAAAAAGAAACATTGATACAACTACTACAAAAAGGACTCATCTGAAATAGTTGAGATATTAACGTAAAGAAAACGTTTAGAGTCAAGAATACATTCCATTGGCCCAATATTCTGTGCTGCTTTTCTTCAATTTTTAGGTTTCTAGATGCAGAAATTATGATTGAATTCTTGGACTTTTATATGGTATTATATGGTGGGCAACTGCAGTTCTGCTTGCCACTGTGCAGTGAGTTTCGAAACTTTCTCTCATTCTCATGAAATGTGTGTGGTCCTTTTCAGTATACTTCTGCTCTGACCTATGACGCTGTTCAAGTGATGACTGAAGCCTTCCGCAACCTACGAAAGCAGAGAATTGAAATATCCCGAAGGGGGAATGCAGGAGACTGTCTGGCAAACCCAGCAGTCCCTTGGGGACAAGGTGTAGAAATAGAAAGGGCCCTCAAACAGGTCAGTCACTCAGAATGATTGCTAATGTAACGTGGCCGTTAAGTTTTTTCCTGCTGAATTAGTCATCCTTATTTTATTCCTTATGTTTAACATACAGGTAATATTATTTTCTAACAATACAAAGGTAGATCAAAGAGTGAAATAAACCTTATAAATGCAGTTTTCTTGATTTGAGTCCAGTAAGAGTAATCTGTAAAGTTTGTATCTTTGGTTGAAGTAAATTTATAATTCTGCTTTTTCCCATTTCCTCTTTAGGTTCAGGTAGAAGGTCTCTCAGGAAATATAAAGTTTGACCAGAATGGAAAAAGAATAAACTATACGATTAATATCATGGAGCTCAAAACAAATGGGCCCCGGAAGGTAAATCCTTAGTTGTTTAAAGGCATTTCTCTCTGTGTGGGGAGGTGGGTTAGTAACTTATCATCTCACTCTTTCAAAGAGTTCTGGAGATGTGTATTTACATAGACAGAGTTTAAAAACTTCCAGAAACAGATTTATTTTGAATTTTTTTCCTAAATCAAATCTATTCATTTCTGGCAAATAACATTGAATTCTAATATTAAAAATAGCTGTAAGTAGGACTGTTCTACTTTGTTTTTTATACGAAAGTAGAAAAAGTCTTCAATGAAAAGAGAAAAAAATATTGTTAAAGGTTTATGGTTCAGAAGAGAAAAATAGCTGGTGAAAATATGCACCCAACTATTCAATTCAACATTTGCTTTTTAACTGTTATGGTTAAAATGCCATTGCTTGGATTTTATTTATATTTCTATCTGTTTACTCCCAAGCAATTACTCTTAGAGAATATGAAAAGTGAACATTAGACAAGCCATGTTTAAGAATTCCATGTGGTTTTTTTTTAGTTTCCTTCTATTCCTAGTCAACTCATATATATACATTATATATGCATATGTATGTAAGTATGTATGTATATGACACATCTCTGGTTAGAAGAAGCCCAAATTAATGTGGGTGTAATTTCGGATTCAGACATGGATTTGAAAATAATTAAACAGTTTGCTAATAGAAAGATCATTTATCCATATGCCTGCCTTTTTCAGATTGGATACTGGAGTGAAGTGGACAAAATGGTTGTTACCCTTACTGAGCTCCCTTCTGGCAATGATACCTCTGGGCTTGAAAATAAGACTGTTGTTGTCACCACAATTTTGGTAATTAACTACATATGCCTCTGTTCTACTTTATTTTTTATTATGAAAAAATATCTGCCAAAGAAAGTTGCTGTTCATATTTTAGGACAATACTGTGCAGCTTTTGCAATGTTTTAATCATGTATTGCATATTTAACCTGTTAAAGATAATGCATACGATCTAGCAAAAGCATTCAAAATGTTCCCTATCCTTTTCAAGACTGAAATTTAGCTCGACAGAAAATTCATACCATGGTGCATGCACAGCTGAACAATTGGGGGAAGTCTTGAAGAGTGTTCCTCACATTTCCTCAAGCACTTCACCTTCCCATTTCCACCCAATTCTGGGTAAAATTTATCTTCCTGTTTGTTACATGGTATCATAATGTTCTCAATTTATCTTCCTTGATAATAAAAAATGAACTCATTAAAGACTAGGACGATTTCCCTTCTTTTTACTTCAAGTTTCAACACAGTGATTAGGACAGATCTAGTGCAAAATGAATGTGTATTGAATGAATGAGGAACAATTGAACTGGATCATAAACATCTAGGCTTTGGACAGATGAAAAACAGATGTGGATCATCATGACAAGCTGCTGGTGAAATGAAATGGAGAAAAGGGGGCTTATTATAGGACATGACTTTGTATCAGATTTTGTTTGTTTTATCTAGCAGTGAGGTTGTAAGCTTATGGGATTAGTAATCCTAACAATATTGATATGCAAATATAAATAGGCAAATAAGAGATTTGGATAAAAACATCAGGAGACACTTGGAAATCTAATAATTGCAAGTTAGACATTTGAGGATTTTTGCTTTCATCATGCCATTGAGAAGAATTATCTCACTGAGAGCCCAAATACTCTTTGTGCCAATTTCCAGTGGAGAGTATTGGACTGTCTTGAATCTTTCTTTCATGCTTCCTCTTTCTTATGATTACGAAGGTAAGCTACTCTCTAGCTATCCTTGTAGCATCAATCTAGGATATTATAACTCACAGATGAAGTGAGATCTGAAGCCCATGGGAGAAGAATCAGTACATCACCATGGCAACTGTCCTTTCATTGTGTATCTCTGTGTATCACTGGCCATGAACCTGATTTCTGCATGAACCTTATTCTAGGAGAAGCAGTGACACAAATTTTGACTGAGTGCCGGTTATTGTGATTAGTGTAACCTTAATCTAGAATAAGTGTGTGATGAATCCAGAGTTGAATAAAGTAGATGTTGAACAGCATTCTTCTATTCTAAGCCCTTGGAAATACAAATGACAAGGGGGAAATAACAGTTTGTGATTTTGAGTATCTTGTTCACTCTGCTATACAAGCCATCTCAATGAAATATAATGATACAATTTTAGTACCTATTTTTGCAGAAAAATCATGCTTAAATTTTTCCTCTAATATTACTCACCATTGACATTCTGCATTTCTCTGGCAAACAGATCATGATTGAATAGAAGATTTAATTTAATGAGAGTACATAATTAACACAGGTATTTTAATCTGCTAAAGCACAGTCTTTCTGTATAGGAATCTCCATATGTTATGATGAAGAAAAATCATGAAATGCTTGAAGGCAATGAGCGCTATGAGGGCTACTGTGTTGACCTGGCTGCAGAAATCGCCAAACATTGTGGGTTCAAGTACAAGTTGACAATCGTTGGGGATGGCAAGTATGGGGCCAGGGATGCAGACACGAAAATTTGGAATGGGATGGTTGGAGAACTTGTATATGGGGTAAGTAAAGCTCTTCTCATAGATAAAGCCATTTAATTTGAACTGTTTTTGACAGAATGCCTCCCCTCTCTGCAAAGTATCTGTGTCTGAGGTTGTTGGTTTCCCACATTCCTCTAGGAATACTATCTTATTTCCTTGAGAACATTTGAAAGATTGAGGCTGAAGCTAGAAGTAAACATGTCAATTAACCAAAACGAGCATTTCATCTGTCTGAAGCAAATGGGCCATATGTATTGTCCAAAGGCTGCAAAGGCATAAATGCAGTGTAGATGTGAAATTATCATAGTTAAGCCAGATGGGTATATTGTAGATTCGTAAAAAGGAGGGATATTTGGGGAACAAATTGCTTTTTACTGGGATTCTATCAAATAAATAATTATTGCCATTTCTCTGATTTCCTTTTCTTCCCCTTTGACCCAATGATGCAACCATGATTCCTTTCTGACCATGACTCCAGGTACTATTACTTTCCTTTGTTTCCCTTACAGAAAGCTGATATTGCAATTGCTCCATTAACTATTACCCTTGTGAGAGAAGAGGTGATTGACTTCTCAAAGCCCTTTATGAGCCTCGGGATATCTATCATGATCAAGAAGCCTCAGAAGTCCAAACCAGGAGTGTTTTCATTTCTTGATCCTTTAGCCTATGAGATCTGGATGTGCATTGTTTTTGCCTACATTGGGGTCAGTGTAGTTTTATTCCTGGTCAGCAGATTTAGCCCCTACGAGTGGCACACTGAGGAGTTTGAAGATGGAAGAGAAACACAAAGTAGTGAATCAACTAATGAATTTGGGATTTTTAATAGTCTCTGGTTTTCCTTGGGTGCCTTTATGCAGCAAGGATGCGATATTTCGCCAAGGTTGGTGACTCACCTACTTCAACTTTGTGCATTTTAGGTCTCAAGTGGATATTCATGGTGTATATGAATTCACTCTAAAGAAGTAACCAGCTGCCGATTACCTGTCCGAGCAGTTTAAGACTCTTAAAGGACATAGTCTTAACCATCGGCATAAGCCTGTGAAATATTTGAACAATGTTCTTTGAATGTTGATCATATATTTCCCTGGTGAAATTATACACACCATGGAGAGGCTATAAAATGCATAAGGTTCCTATCATTCCATGCCTTCTTGGAGGGGTACCGTGTTTTTGCTGCATATTCTCATTTTACAGTCATCTGTGTGTTGATCCACAGACCTGTATATGGGAAAATGGGCAACATTATTCAACTACAAAAGCAGCAACTTGTTAGACAAAGCATCATTGGCACACATCCCATCTGATATGTCATTATTCAACTACAAAAGCAGCAACTTGTTAGACAAAGCATCATTGGCACACATCCCATCTCTTATTTTCCCTTCATTAGCTCATGGAAATGATATGATCATTGGCACACATCCCATCTGATATGTGAGAGATACTTCAAAATTTACTGTTTTTCAAGGCTCGATTGCTAGTTTGAAAAGAATGTGTGACAATGTATTGTCCAAGTATCTAGAAATACATGGAGGAGGCTGACTCATTACAAAAGCCTGTGCCATATTAAATGGTAATATATACACATCATGGAATAAACTCACATATCTCTATTCTCATTAGGTTATGTTAAGCCCTGCACTAGAAAGCCTAATTATCATAAATCTGTCACAAAGCACCTATTGCTTTTATGTTACATACATGAATAAGAATGATAGGGATGTTTAGTTCTCAGGAGGAATAAATCACACTTTTTCCAGTGTGATTACTTCAACATTTAAAGCCAAAATGATTATCAGTCTACTGGCACATTTTCATTTGGGCTCTATTATTCTCCTTTGATTCTCTGGGATATCTTAATAACCAGTGAATAAGATGCCTTTTCCGATACTATTTCATTATGTTGTTAGTTTTTGAGTACTTTGGTAAATGACAAGTGATTAATTTCAAAAAACTATATGAAAGCCTTAAATATTGATCTATTTTGCAATCATTTTACTATTTGCTACCCAGTGAGGTAAAGGAAGTACAACATAAAGGCAGAAATGATCAATGGTTTACTACTCTGATATAGGTAGTTATTTTTAAAAATCACATATTTATGAGTGGTATGGATCCAAAATATCTTAGTTCCATCAGTTTCCCTGTGGCTTCTCTGTGGGACTTCACTGAATTAGAAATGTGCCAATATTATTTGTATGGTGTGGCTTATGTGTGTGAGTGTATGAATATATATTTAACCTCTGACAAAATGTATAAGATTCATTGTTTTATCTCTGTCATTAGTTTATCTGATTTAAGTGAAAGACATGAAGAGAAGCTTCTAATAATGAGGGGGAGAAAACCCACCAAATTGGGTTCTCAGGGAACATTCTGATCTTTAAAATAATAAATATATAGTTCACCTTTAGTGAAGGCTACTAAAGTATAGTGTTACCTTAGTTCTAAGATATAAGGCAGTTTTCCTGGAGTGACATACCCTTTGCTCTGCTTTTTGGATAAAGTTGGGAGAAGTGTGTGGGGGTTCATTATGAAGTAGGACATATTGGCTAAGTTCTGGTAGATGAAAGGCAGAAATGATCAATGGTTTACTACTCTGATATAGGTAGTTATTTTTAAAAATCACATTTTTATGAGTGGTATGGATCCAAAATATCTTAGTTCCATCAGTTTCCATGTGGCTTCTCTGTGGGACTTCACTGAATTAGAAATGTGCCATTATTATTTGTATGGTGTGGCTTATGTGTGTGAGTGTATGAATATATATTTAACCTCTGACAAAATGTATAAGATTCATTGTTTTATCTCTGTAATTAGTTTATCTGATTTAAGTGAAAGACATGAAGAGAAGCCTCTAATAATGAGGGGGAGAAAACCCACCAAATTGGGTTCTCAGGGAACATTCTGATCTTTAAAATAATAAACATATAGTTCACCTTTAGTGAAGGCTACTAAAGTATAGTGTTACCTTAGTTCTAAGATATAAGGCAGTTTTCCTGGAGTGACATACCCTTTGCTCTGCCTTTTGGATAAAGTTGGGAGAAGTGTGTGGGGGTTCACTATGAAGTAGGACATATTGGCTAAGTTCTGGTAGATGACCCTCAGGCCCTTCTCCCATGCATCATAGCACTGTAGGTAGTTGTTTTGGTCTCCAGTGCCTGATAAGTTGTGTGTAACCTCTTTGTACTTAGGGGCTGGAGCACAAGGTACACTGAACAATCTGTTATCTCAAGGTCTACCACAACATATGGATGACTTCTCATTTTCACCAAGTATCTTCCATAATATGATATATTTTTTTCTGGGGTTTTGATTTCACTCATGAATCATGACACTCTAATTTCACATGTAGTAACTTTTATTTCCCGGTAAGATAAACAAAATTTAAATAGCGTATTTTTTTTCTTGTTATTCATTGATAGTTTTTTGCCTTAGAATATAAGCAAAATTTGAGGTACACATGTTTTGCTTTATGTTATTTATATGTGCATTTAAAAATTGAACATAATACATAGAATTGGCAAAGTAATGATTTTTTAATGAATCATTAAAATTCTATTATTTTTTAGAATGAAATAATGGTGTAGTTCAGAAGAAGGGCAGAGCAGATTATTATCTTAAAAAAAGCATGAAATGCACAGATCAATTTAGAAATGTTCATTAAATATTTAAAAAATATTTATCATCCCTTTCCAAGTAAAGTATGATATGAAACTGTATTATTAATGTTGATAGAACACATTTAAATTGTAATCTAGAATGATTTATTGGACTAACTGACTTGGTCATTTCCCTGAAATTAAGTTTGGAATAATTTAACTATAAGATATAGTTTTGTGAAGAACAAAACCACAGAAATCATGACAGCAAGATGTGATAAAGATTATTTTTTATTATTCTTCCTGCCTCTGTTTTTTCTTCCCCCACTATCTCTAAAGGATTCAAATGAATATAAAAATGCACATCATTTTAAAAATAATTACTTAGTAGTGTTTAAAAATAAGTTATAGTGTATGTACATTTATTTGCTCTTTTGGTGCATATGCTGAGAGGTGAAAGTGTTGTTTTTAATTATTGAAGTCATTTTTGTTTGTCACTACAAAATAAAATTGAACTTGCTCCTCTGCATAAAATTTCTCAGGATCTATTTTAGTAGCTCTAATCGATACTTTAAAAAACATTTAAAAGTAAATAATAAGTTGCTTAAGTATTTTTCATTTTTGAATGATTTATAAGCCCAATAAATTTTTTGAGATATCACAGACATTTTAAATCAATTGACATATTTAATCTCATTAAATCTGATTTTTGCACTGGTATATGAGATAGCTTATGTCTTTAACTTATAACAACTGAAGCAGACTAACCTTGTAAAAATGAATCTTAAAGATATTGTAAACTAACATGCAGTGCATACAGTCAAAAACAATTATTATATAATCAGCTTTTGTTGTAAGGGATTTAAGTAATCAGGTACTGAATCTGTCCTCTTAAATACAGGGTATATGTCAGACATTTATACATCCCAATGTTTGAGGATAAATAATGAACATTTTGAGCATGACTGTATCTGTATAAGGGGCTTTCCAAATGTAAAATATATTTAATATTCTTTTCAGAGTATAAGTAATATGTGTTTAACTTTTTCCATCCTTTCATATTTATTTAATTCTTTGCATCTTCTAGAGACTTTATGATAAAGGCTCTTAATTATATTTTTTGTTTTTCAGTGCTATCTCTCTCTTTTATTTTAACAACAGGTGTTTTTATCTAAAGAAAATCTTTCCTTTTAAATTAGCTTCCCTCCATTTTTTGTTTGTTTGTTTGGTTGGTTTATTTTACAAATATTACTCAATTTGACCTAGTATCTGTTTTATCAAAAGGTACATTCCTTACTGTGTTATCAGGAACCTTAGGCCATAAGTTGCCAAATTTTTATGATTTTTATTTTTAGAAATATTACCTTTTCATCCTAGTGAGTCTAATTGTTAGACATAGAGTTATCGATAACAAAGAAAATCATCATTTTGTTGATTTATAAAAAAAGACTAACAAAGGCCTTCAACTTTCTAACTTTTCAAACAGGTAGCATAGTTATAATGTGTCTAATATGTGTAGGTTAATTTTTTCTTTTAATTTGTGACCTTTTACGCTCTGTTTATAGGAGAAGCCCAAGGGCCTGATGTTGGCATAATTTTCTTTCATTTTACTCTTTCTCTATGGATGACCTCATTCTATTAAAATGTTTAAATACAGCTGATTCACTTAGATCATAGGACAATACATGTGACATATGGTGATCTCTGATAATCCACAAATATCTCTGAACGTATCTGAATTTGAGTGAGATCTGTGCCAATTTTTTCCAGAATTAGAATTAAGACCTCCAACAATATGTTGAAGCAATAATTTATAGTTTGAGGACTGTCTCATACTACATTGCCTTTGGTTTCTTTTCTAAATAACTTTGTTTTGGGTTGAGGATATGATGGGAGAAAAGCTGCTGGGGACAGAACCACAGCTAATAATGGTAACTTGGACATGTGTGGGGAATGCAAGACTTTGATGATTTCATTAGGTCCTCATTTAAGTGCAGAAGTGTAGTCTATCTATCAGTAGCTTTTTTGACTTTAATGCAGATCTAAGTATAAATGTTATAATACAGATTTTGTACTAATGACACTTAATTATCACTTCTGGCCATATATGCAATATGTGTATGAATACTGTTGATATAATAACATAGTGCTCTAGCTTCATCATAACAATGGATTTATTTAAACAAATTAAAATGCTGCATTTTTCCTAATTAGAAGTGTATTTTGAAGTATTTTTATAATTAGTACATAATGTTGCTTGTTTTTATATTATTTGGGAAAATAAGATACTCCCTTTTGAAGTAAATGAA